TGTAAGGATCCTTGCTGTCTATGGGAGGGTCAGAGAGCTCTCGGAATTCATCAAAAATATCTTAATTTGTGTTCCGAAGATGAACAGAGGTCTTACAGGTTTGGAATGACATGAGGGTGAGTAACTAATGACAGAATTTTCATTTTTGGGTGAACTATCCCTTTAAGATACTTTAATGGTGTTACTTTTGTCCTTTTTGAATCTTGAAAGCCTCATTATAATTGCATAGTAAAGAGAAAAAAGTGTGTAAAAAGAATTGAAAAAAAGCAGATAAAGGGAGCAAAATAATATACCAAATTTTCATAGCTGAGGGTAAACTAATCTTTTAATTTAATAGACTCAAATGGGACTAATGCCGGGTTCAGACTACACGATATTTTTGTCGGTCACGATAGTCACTGTGTCAGATTTCACGATTTTGACTCCTAAAATCTTGTCGTGTCGTGGACAAGAAACATGTCAGACTACACGTTGCTTCCCGACCATTCATCGCGTGCCGTCTTTAACGACATGTGTGATGTCATCGAGAAGGCGGAACTAGCGACTGACTTCTGAAAACAAGAGTGTAAACATTGCTGAAGCGCTTCCGCTATAGTTCGCCGGCATTTTTCTTTCTTTGTTCTGTCGTGGTAGTCCCTCGATGACACATCATACAGGCAGGAGTACTGTTGCCACAGCTCCACGAACCTTTCCTCCATCTCATAATTCCACCTAACAGCACCATCATCTCTCTTTCGTTTCGCCATGTTTGAAACCTGTGTATGAAAGAGCTTCTGTGCTGCTATTGGTCAATGTCACCAATGTGACAGAACTCGTCGTGGACAACAGAAAAAAAATTAAACATGCTAGACTTTCTGTCGATGTCGTGAAGCAACGCAGACACGGAATCGGTTGTCGTCCACTATAACACAGTACACGTGCTGAAACGATGGAATCTTGCGTCCCGACACCCATTGTCGTTTACGAATCCCCACGACACCCTACGTCAAGCAAATTGTGGCAAAATCGGGCTAAAATTGTGTAGTCTGAACAGGGCATTAGGGCTGTGCAAATAATCGAATGCGATTTTCATGCGCATCTCGTCAGTAAAGCCGGTTCTGTGATTAGTAGTAAATCTCAAGCATGTGCGTTCAGATGGAGCGGCATTTACTACACCGAGCCATAGATCACTGACAAGCTACACAAAATCGCGTTCATAATCCCGCATTCCATTATTTGCACAGCCCTACTTTATATATTACCAATTCTAAAACTTTGAATGGTATTGTACTTTTTCAAAGATAGTAACTTGATTTACATTTACTCATTTAGCAGATGCTTTTATCCAAAGCAACTTACAAATGAGGACAATAGAAGCAATCAAAAATGACAAAAGAGCAATAATATGCAACATTCTGGATTAATTGTAGAGGTTTGATAGAACTGGCTGGAAGACCTGCCAAGAGAGCATTGCAATAGTCCAGTCTGGACAGAACAAGAGCTTGAACAAGGAGTTGTGTAGCATGTTCCGAAAGAAAGGGCCTGATCTTCCTAATGTTGTATAAAGCAAATCTGCAGGATGATATTTGATGGTAGTTAAACTTAGTTAAGGTAGTTAAAATTTTCAGTAGTTTGTAGCTTGACAAATTACAGGCAGGAGCAAGTAGCTTTTCCAACACTGCTGGTCACTTTATGCTTTCATTCTTTAGAATTCCATTTGTGTTTCACCACAGAATGTCAGTTTATGTACTTTGCATGGCTTTGTTCCAGAGAAGAATGGGAGTCGAGTGGTCACAGCCGCTCGGAAGACAAAACCAAAGCTGGAGCTGAGGACCAGAAGGTGACTAAAACCATAATTTAAGAGATTAAGGTGTTAAACTTTCATTAGTATTTGACAGGGTCTCTCTGCTCCAGGCCACAGAAGGGTCAGGAAAACTGGCTCTGCCGTACAAGGTACTGAAGGCCTTAGAGCCAGAGCTGTACCGCAACGTGGAGTTTGACGTGTGGCAAGACAGCCGCAAAGGTCGGTTTACTTTACCTCAGTTACTTTTTAAAAGCTTAAATGATTCTTACCCTAAATTAGGAGTATAATTTTGTGATGTGCTTTGCGATAATCCTGTGTTATAGAGCTACAGAAGACTGATTACATGGTGTTTGCTGGCAGACAGTATTTTTTAGGAGATAAGTGTCAGGTGGGACAAAACCTTGCATCAGGTTTAAATGTTAACATATTGGCATGCCATTTTTTAATTGTCACACCTCTTTTGATAAAACAGACTCTTGTTATGGATTTTCCATAATAATGAATCCTATTTCTGAAGCATTTCATGTCCCTGCAGCCTCTGTCATGCTCATGGTTTTGTTTCCCAGGTCCGCTTGGATCCAAAAGGGAAGTACTACAATGCCTTCATTCAAGAAGTAGGGACTCAGACCACTGCGGTGACCGTGTTCATTGAGGAACTTGGGGAAAAGTAAGCTGTGTCCTTCTGTACTTTCTCACAGGCAGATGTCCCTGAGAATCTTTAAACATCCTCTTTGATGTTTTAGACACCTGGTTCCCTTGACCAATCTGAAGCCAGTGAATCCTGTGCCAGCCTGGAACATCACACCAAGCAGAAAAGGAAATTCCTACAACCATCCAGAGCAGTACCCTGGAGAAATAGGTTTGCCTCTTCAACTTCATTTGTATTTGAATGCACAAACTTATTTTTTTCTTTAATTTAGTGGGTGATTACTTGTTTTGTGTACTTAAATGTGTATGTATATAAAACTGCTGAACTTTTAAAATGCTAAAACATTAGTTTGAATATGCATGCAGTGTAGGTGTTAATCTTAAAATGAACTGCATATAATTATGCTTGAAATAATGCTTATATTGTTTATTATATTTCAGATAATGGTCAAATATTGGCCTGTCATATACTTTGTACGTCTATAATCTGATCAGCCACAACATTAAAACCACTGACAGATGGAGTGAATAATATTTGATTATATGTGACCCTGGAGCACAAAACCAGTCTTAAGTCACTGGGGTATATTTGTAGCAATAGCCAAAAATACATTGTATGGGTCAAAATTATTGATTTTTCTTTTATGCCAAAAATCATTAGGATATGAAAGAGCACCCTCAGATTCCAGATTTTCAAATAGTTGTATCTCGACCAAATATTGTCCTATCCTAACAAACCACACATCAATGGAAGGCTTATTTATTCAGCTTTCAGATGATGTATAAATCTCAGTTTCGAAAAATTGACCCTTATGACTGGTTTTGTGGTCCAGGGTCACGTATATCATATATATATATATATATCAGCTCTTGAGTTTCATGTGTTGGAAGCAGAAAAAATGGCCAAGCGAAAAGATCTGAGCGATTTTGACAAGGGCCAAATTAGGGATGTGCGGGTCTAATCAACTAGTCGGATACAAAACTTCCGTTTAAACAACAGTCAAATTAGTCGTCGTGCACATCCCTAGGCCAAATAGTGATGGCTAGGCTGGGTCCGAGCATCTCCAAAATGGCAAGTTTTGTGAGGTTTTCCCAGTATGAAGTGGTTAGTACTTACTGAAAACGATGCAAGTAAGGAAAAGCCAGCATCAGCCATGAGTGCCCAAGGCTCATTGATGCACATTGGCATCCTGCAAAAATTGTTCAGGAGTGGTTTGAGGGACATGAAAAGAGTACAATGTGTTGTCTTGGCCTTCAAATTTCCCCAGATCTCAATTCCTGGGCCAGCAAAGCTGATCCATGGAGGCCCGCCTCAAAACTTGCAGGACATAAAGGATCTGCTGTAAATGTTTTGGTGCTAGATACCACATGATATGTTCAGAGGTCTTGTAGAGTAAATGCATTGACTGTTTAGCAGCATAATGGGGGCCGACAGAATATTAGGCAGGTGGTTTTAATGTTGTTGCTGCTGTTCAGTGTGTAGGTCTGTTACTGGTAGATACCAGAGTTATCAGCAGGGCACATGAACAGATCAGATTGCATATTTCTGGGCCATGAAAGTTTTCCTCTTTAAAGACCCAGAGCTACGTGGACGGCGACGGTACTTCAAGAAACCTCGTGGTAAGGAGATGTTGATGGCAGTGTCTTTCAGTCGTCCTCAACCTGGCTTACCTCCCCGTCTGCAGCCTGGGCCAGGAAACATTTATCCTGTCCGTTCTCCAGGGGTACACGGTCCCGCTCCACCTCCTGCAGGTCTGGCCTATGAACACTACCGACCCCACCATCCACCTAGACCACCACGTGGCTACGCCCCACCCAGGTTAGACACAAAATTCTTTACAGATGCTTATTCATTGTTGTATCTTCTAAACCTATGTCCTGTCTTTACTCATTGGATGAATCTGTTTGGGGGTTTTTTTCTGTGTTTTTTTTTCACCACACGACTTTTGGTCAGAAGTTCGACCCGATTCCTGAACAGGCACCATCTTATTGGATCAGATCTAGCCTATTATCCCAGTCCCAGCAAGCGCTGCTACCAGAGTTTTGATAACTACTCGTTCAGGTCTCGGTAAGAAAACATTTACTTTAACATCTACATCAGAAATGGTTAATGCTAGAAATGACAAACTATAATGAACCTGTGATGGATACAGTCTCTTTAATATTATGTATTAAAATATTTTGTAACTTGGTATTTTTTTTTTATTAATTTATTTTTCAACTTTAAAAAAAATGGGTTTTGCAAATTAGGAATTATGACTTAAAGACTTTATGAAATGGTTTTACAAGTGCACTTTTGCTTCTTGTGTTTACACATTTCCTGTTGAAACAAGAATTTGAAAAAAAAAATGTTTTTACTCTTTTGTTTGCTTTTCATTTGAAAGCTTGTTGCACAGAAAATGGCAATGAAGGCATTTTCCCAAATTCTTTCCAATTTCTGGAAAAAAGCAAAGAAATATGAATGTTTATGCAATCAAAGACTGTGTCCGTGTATTTAGGCTGCCCAGTAAGAATAGTCATTACAATACTAATTTCTCACTAGGAAAAAGTTGGAAGGTTGGGCAAAACATTGCATGTATACAAAATGACTAGCCTCAACCTTTTAAAATTGTGTTTTCTGTGAATCCATTGCATCATTTTCAATATCGCAAGATATTTCAGTTGAATCTTTTGTTTTCTCAGCAAACCTCTTTTATTCAGCTGCTGTCAAAGTGAGTTAAGTTGTATATGTATAGGAGTCGTCGGCGGCAGATGCACTCTCTGAATAAAGAGTATCTGAGCTGTGTTCCTGAGCCAGGAGAGGAATCCCAAGACATAGAGGGAAGTATCACCTTCTATGAAATTGAGGAGACTGATGAGAGTGCCTTCTCGCCAATATCAGTGAGACACCCAGTTCTACTTCAGTAACAGTTGGGAGCATTAAGGCCTGTTCACAACAAGAATAATAACTACGTATATTAGCATCTGCACCAACGCACAATACCATTATGTTTGTTAAAAGCACGAACTACAGTTATGTCATGCTGCTTGAAATGCTCAAGCTCTTTAAAGTCAGGTGGATTCCCTATTCACATAAAATTAGAACCATCATTAAAACTTTGCAGTTTTTGTCCTTGGTGTGAACAGGCCTTCTAGGCTTTGACGCTAAGATCACGGTTCTGTCTGTCTCACTGTGTGTATCTGAAGGGTCAAGCAGTCTCCAGCCCCATGGTTCCAGGGGCCACTGCTTACTGGGTGCCAAGAGTTCCCAGTCCAATTCCTCCCTCAGGCAAACAGCCCATGACATCTTCAGAGGAGGACCCTGATGAGAGGAGTAATGCTGGCGACCAAGGTACAGCCAAAAAGTTCCTTGGTTTTGTGTCAAAACCGAATGAGCTGACAGCTACCCACGTGGTCCGTTATCTATATCAGGAGTTCTCAAAGTGGGGTCCATGGACACCTGCGGGGGTCCGTAAAATAATTTTAGTGCCCTATGATTTGGTAAACATGGACCGAATCACAGAATTCAGTCAAAAAAAATAAAAATAAATAACAGTAACTTACTCTATAGCATATAATTTCATTCAAATTTGGGATGAATTAGTCCAAATTATGGCTACATTTGATCAAATTGCAATATGGACTACTGTCTGTCTGTGAATGTTAAACCGCAAAAAGACTGCTATGTAAATATAAAGTCTTCATGTGAATAAATGGCATAGTTTTGACTACTACACAAACTCAAGCACAGTTTGGTTTTCACAAGAATGGTTTTCATTCGATTTACATTTTAGAGGTTTATTTTTTTAAGGTAATGATTTATGATTTATGCTTTCGTTTGATTACCACCAGTTTTCGTAATAAATTTGTACATAAATCCAGAAAAATTAAAAGACAAACACAGATTTCAAAATAAACAAATAAATTAATTAAAATGGAAAATGCTGAATTTGGAAACAATAAAACCGAATTTGAGGAAAAAATAAAACTGAATTCCTAGGGCTCTAAAAATTTAATTCTTGTTGAACTTCTAAGAAATTGTTAAATTGTATAATTAGACATGCTTTTTGATTATTACAGTTTAATTTAACCATTTAAAAAAAACTTTACAGAAATATTAAAATAGAAGTTCCAGTGGCATCTAAGAGTACAAATTGTAGTGAGCTTAAGCTTAATCACTGTTATAATTATAATGTGGTCTTTGGAAAATTGTCTCCCTTGTGGGGTCCCTGGCCCCAAAAAGTTTGAGAACACCTCATCTACGTAAACGGCATTGTTACATTGTTAGTACTCTGCATAATTAATACTGGTATATTGTGACACCTCTAGTCATCAATATCTGTGGTATAATATATTTCTAATTGGATGGATGAATCATAGACTCTTTCAGTGCCCTTCGCTCAGGTATCGCTTTTTTTGCTTATCTATGTTGTCAAATCTGGCTCTGATAATTGGGTAAACAAATTTCCTCATTTATTCTTATTAATAGACTTTGCACAGCGTCATCTTCAATTTTAGTATTCAACAAGGTCTGACATTCAGTTCTCTATTCAGCAAGTCCATGAAGAAAAAGAATTAGACACTGTTCCGGTCCCTCAAGTTGAAACTCATGCTTGCAATTGATCTTATATGCATTTGGTAAATACTGATGGTAATGATTTGCACATTAAAACCAACATATTTCAATGCAGCAGAATTTTTTTTAACATTAAACTGAAATGTGGAAGTGCACACCCATTTTAAAAATACTGTCTTGGTAGGCAGCTCACCAGGCTTTGACACAGCCCATATGTGATATGATGGATGGCGGTTAATTTTAACTGTTTGTCCTGACTAGGTGAATACTCTGAGGAGTACATCTACTCTGCCGCAGGTTAGTTCATTAACCGCTACGTTATGTTAGTGAAATTTCAGCTTTATACTCTTGTCATGATATCCTGTGTGCACTGATATTAAAAACATATTTCTGTATTGCAGAGGCAGGTTATCAGAGTCCATCGGTGTATGCTGCAGCAGCAGAGTCTACCACCAATCTGGTACTGTCTTCCAAACTACTTCATTTGTCAAAAATGTCCACCAAAATGCTAATACTGTAGCTGACAAGAGTTCCAGTGGGAGAACGTAGAGTAGATGTGCTCTGACAGCTCTGCACAAGCTCTCCTAAACCAACTCCTATTTTTCCCTTTATTTGAGAATACGGAAAATGTCATTAGATGAGTGTTTGTGGAAAAGTTTAAAAAGACTTTTATAATAAATAGAGATTGCTAATCAGATTGAATTTTGACATGTTTTGCAGACCATTCAGGAGGGAGGTTCTCGTGCCGGGTCACCACAAGAGGGTGTCGCTACCTACAGTTACTCACAACAGGCATGCATTGTTCACAGTATTCATAAATTTGTTACACAGTTTTGCCCTGCCTTGGAGGAGACGTGTGTAACTCAATCTTTTCAGGTGGTTGTGAAGTCGTCTGTCCTCTCCTCTTCTCAACCGATCAACTCTGCCCCGGCTGCAATCTTCACATCAAACTCTTCCTCTTCATCCACTGGGAGCTCCCAGACTCCCCCGAACCCACTGCAGCCCAACAACATCTTAACGCCTGGACCGCCACCACCCCAGAATGTTCTGGGCAGGCCTGGTATACAGTTATGGCTTTTTAAATTAATGATTGTCATGCACAGTTATCAAATACTAATGTTAGCAAAGGAGATGACTCAAGACACACGTTCTCATTAGTCGTTGTGTAGTTTTATCCATGCCGTTTTTCCTGAGCAGTTCCGTGGTTTGTCAATGAGCTGGGAGAACCAGTCGCCATGGCGCCGCCTCCACCCTACTCTTATGACCCCAATGGCAGTGACCTTCCAAGAGGTCAGAGGGAGCCACCTCATTGTCTAATATTTGTGCATAATATTTTCTGCATGTTTGTAATTTTTTTTTTTCTCTCCACAGATTGCAAAGTTCTCCAGTACTACTATAATTTGGGGGTTCAGGTAAGTGGGTGTTTTAGTTTTGATCTCCGTTTACCTCTAGAGATTTATAGTATATGTAATGTCCTGGACTTACATTTAGGTATAACTCGCACAAACTTTGCCTCATTTATAAGTAATATGTGGCCTCTTGTGTCTTTTATTAAAAAAAGCAGCATGGGAAGACATGAGGAATTAAAATATTAATACTGATATGATAAAAATCATAATGTGCATCTATAACTTTTAAATGCAGTGACGTCTTATGAGTGCACAGAAAAAAATGAAAATTGTGTACATCAGTATTAACAATACTGACAGAAGTCATAACGTATGACTTCATGAAATGCATTTTTTAAAATTATTTTATAATTCTTCCTTCGGTGCACTTATTACATTTCACCAGGTTAAAATAATATCTCAAGCTTTGTGCTTGATTTATTTGTAACACATTAACCTCAAAACCTTTTCAGCTTTCTCTTTCTGCAAATTGTATGGTGTAGCGATATGATGACAGCACCCAAAATACTATCAAACACTCCCAACACAGCTCCATTCTTCGGAAAAGATGGATAAAAAGGCACACCGCAAACACAAACCTCGAAAAATGATATGCGACCCGCCAAATGCTGGCCGAATCACAAAGATGCCGATTCGCACGGGACTAATATTAACACAGGACCTCGGTGTTCGGCGAAGTATGGTAGGTCATTTGCGGGGTAATTTTTACTTTACAAATTACAGACATGGCCGATTCGCACGGGATTAAGATCACAGACAACCTCCGCAATTATTACAAATGACTGGAGGTCACCAGGTAATACTAATCCCGTGCGAATAGGGCTTTAGTATGTTTTTTTTTTTTTATCAAAAGCAATTTCTTAAAAAAAAATTAAATCATTATTTAGATATACTGTAAATGGTAATTTTCTACCCTGAATTTAGCCTCCCTTAGAAGGGGCATTTCTGCTGAGACTTAAATGTAAACTCCCACTCCTATGATTGGCTAAGATCTTTGCATATGAAATAATGAGATGAACTAATCATGAAAAATGTTGATCATAGCATTATATTTAGATACTAATACTGCTACTCCAGTTGCATCAAAGGTCGCAGCGCTGTACTATAGCCAAACAGTCATGTCTGCAATGATCAAATACTTTCATCATAACTAACACGGTGAAAATATGATGTAAATAAAAGACTGGTTAAGCAGTGTGAACTGTCATTGGCTACATTTACATGGACACATAATTCATAATTAAATAATTCTGATTGATGAATCTGAACCTACTTTTTACATGTATGTTAAATAGTGTTCAAGTTGATGTGCGCATTACCGCATTTACAGTATATGTCACAAGCTTCAATATCTGATTTGATCTTTTGACATGCACACTGCGTGAATATACAGAGTTTGCACATACTGTTCTTTTATTTATCAAGCAGTAAAATCGCCCATTCCTGTGGTCAAAACAAGCCCTCTGTGGATGAGAGTATGAAGTGAGGACTTACGGGACATTGTTCTGCTCCACTTCACAGACGATAAGTGGAAGGAGAATTTTAGAATAGGAGAGTCATTTACAGTGACACTTCATTCTACAAAAACAACAGCTCGTTCCATGCGTCATACATCATTACGCCATTTTTATATCATTGCACATGCGCAGTACTTTTCTAGTTTTTACATGTCTTCCTAATCTGATTAGAAGAGGCCAAATAATGTGGCTTACTGTCCTCAATGTACTTATACATTTAATTGCTTTCTATATGACATACTGATATTTTTGTATTTGTTCCAGTGGTATCAGCAGAGTTACTGGCAATCTATAGTGCACATGCAGCAGGTGTATCCGCAGCAGGTCGCAGAGGCTCAGTTCCAGCAGTACCCGAGCACCGTTCCCACTGCTGACCACACGGTCCCCCAGGCCTACCATGATCCTGTCCGCATGTGCCCGCATCCACAAGGAGACGTGGCCAGCAATGGTAAGCTATCATTACTGCAAACCTCCAAATTCTCAGCTTTCACGTTCATCTTGAGCTTGTCATACATCTACTCTTAGTCGATCAATTTTATTAGTCTCTTAGATGGACAGATTAAGAGCTTGTCATTGAGGTAATTGCAGTATATTGGGCAGGAAATCCAAACGTTCACCTATCTTTCATCAACCTCAAATATGGCTTATCATTTGAAATTGAAACATGTAAGTAGTAGCAACTTTACATGGCCAGATTCGATGCTTCAATAGGACGAGCCGGATTTGACCACCAATCTCAGTCGAATATTCGCAGAGGTGTTATGATCATGCCATTTTGGCAATATATGGGGGTGCTCAAATGTCTGATTTCACACAGAACTACAGGTTTTCTCCCAATAAGTTAATGTACAGCCTATTAAGATAATGCTGAAAATAAGAATCTGAAAAGAAAGAACCTTTTAATAAATATTTTTAATGTGTGTGAATGAATCCAACCACCCCATGACAGTTTCACTTTACATAATCCGTGACCGACAGTGGAGCGTTTTGGCGGCAGGGATTTAAATCTTTAACAAGACTCAAATTGACACAGGCAGAGTGAAAGACTGGATTTTTTCGATCAGGTAGGGTACAAGTGATTTCAAAACATTTCAGCCGGTTTATATATATCGTGTATATATTATTTATCTCGTATAAGATGCATTTGGTTGAGTTGCGCTGCAGTAAAGCGCTTCATTGTAGTACTATGGTGATTATCTCTTCAGTGCGCAGCACAAGCAGGACAAACAACAATGCAAAATATTAACATGCATAATATACATGACAATTATAATGAGAACACTTATAATAAAACGCTGTGAATTTTTAGAGTTTAGTCGCCGATGTTTCTGCACGTTGAATAATTGCTAATGTGAACTTTTTACACCACAGACTGAACAAAATTAAGCATTGCTTGGTGATTGGTCAACAAAGTATTGATAGTTGTGTAAATAGTCATACTAACAGAATTTTTGGTTGATTGTAATCCATTACATACCTTTCTATCAAAGTTATCTGACATTATCAAGATGAATTTGTTCTGACACAGTTTAGCTTGGAGTTCTTGTCATATTTTATTACCATTTTCTAAACTATAGCAAATAAACTGTGATAATGTGAGAAATGTTGAAGGTGAATACATTTTGGTTTGACTGTATATATATTATTTACAGTGAAGACTATGCAGTGCTATTTTACATTTGAATATTCAGTTTCTGTACCTGGACACCTACAAACTTGAAAAAAACTTAAACATTGTGTAAATAGCACAAATAAATAAATAGAACGAACATACAAATTAAACTATTTCAAACAGGGCCCACTGGTACAACCTGCACTGGGGCCCCGCAAACCCCAGCAACGGCCCTGATTGGGTGCATATCCAAGTAGGGATGCAACGATACCATTTTTTCAGAACCGATTCGATTACCGAAAATTCTGAGTATCTGCCGATTCCGATCCCAGCGCAGTTTTTTTTTTTTTTTAATCAATGTAGAATTTCTATACTTCTGTGTATTGACCTGATCATCACTCTTTTGTGTGTTAAACACAATCTACTAAATATAGACAACTTCATTTTAATTAAAAATAACAAATGAAAAAATATATAATCATAATCTATGACAAAAACACTATTATAAACTAGGTTAATGGATAATTCAGCTGCAAAAGATACTCTCAAAAAATCATGGGTGCACAATTTTATAAAATCTTAACATTTAGTGAAAGTGGGGAACAGATAAAAGTTAGCGTAGACATTGCAATGTTACAGATTGCTCTTTGTATTGTTGTAAAATACATTCATGAAAAACAAGTAAATATATTTATACATAAATATATACTATAAAATTAAAAGACATTTCTTTTAAATGTTTTGCACAGTAATGAAGGCAGCAACATATGATGGATAAGACAGAATAAGAAAGACTATTAATAATCTTTCATTGTGCATTATATTATAATACAAAAGGGTATGGCTCCAAAACAGAGCGGCACAAAGCGCTTGTGTACATCCCGATGCGTTTGAAGCAACACGGAGTCACAGCGCTCTGCATAGAAAAGATCAAAGCAGAAAGGGAAGAGATGTTGATGCGTAGTGTATTATATCTGTGCGATAGTTTAAGCCTTTTTAAAGTTTTAAATCTGTTATTGTGCACTCTAGAAGAGAGTTTCATCATTTTGACTGTAGTAACCGAACGCGACATGCAGTTTGAATGCTAAATGGAGGATGACAGACAGCCCCACAGTGGAGAGAAGAGTTTACGGGAACTTGACTTAGGCTAAATATTCATCTGTACCTCACATTAAACTATGGCATGGCTTCTCGAAATATGATGCACGGAAACTTTATAGTGCTTTATAATGTTTTTGTGCCTTTCGTGGGGCTTAACAATAACATAGAATAGTATATGCACAATATCGGATTTGGATCACTATCGGAGCCCCATATCCAAGTGTTTGTGTAGGGTGTGGAAGCTATTAGCGCAGGAAATGGAGGTACCTTAGAAAACGGTCTAATAATGTTTTTCATGGATTTTCATCTGTGGAATGCGCCACTTCCGGTATTTTGCCAGTTAATCGGCATGGGCAACATGCAATCGAGAATGGTTCCTCCATAAAATGTGCTGCATACATCTGAATATTTGGGTTGAACTGTTCTGGAACGTTGTTGTAAATACAACTTAACCACTGATTTCTAGTCGTGTCCATTTTTGGAAATTCAAACGAAGTAGTTTCGCTTTCACAACGAAACTGCGTCACACACAGCGGCGGCAACAACAATACTACAGCGAGAATAAAAGTCACGCCGCCTTTCTTTGCGTGAACGTTTGGGCGGCATTATGCAAATCTTCCCAGATAGTGACGTAGGTATGTGGGGGCGTGTTAGAACGAGCCGTTTTAGGTAGATGTGGCTGACTCTTAACTTTTATAAAGAATATCTCTTTGGATTTGAGACTTTAGTCTTTGCAACTTTACAGATCTTCTTTATGCACCAAGAGCTTGTAACACTCCAAAGAGAAAGGAAAAATTGAAATTGCATCATATGACCCCTTTAAATTTAATCAAGGAATCGTAAAAGTCCTACTACATTTTAAAAGCTCATTATGATATATATTTAAGTAATGCACCGTATATAAATGTGCAATTAGTCAACTAATGGCTTAAATGAATGACTGCTAGTTGACTAGAAAAATCTTTAGTCAGGGTACACTCTCACCCATGCCCTCCTCTCCTCAGGCACCCCTCTGGCCATGGAAAGCCCTCCCGCGGTGGTCCCCGGCACGGTGTTCTACCCCCTGGTGCAGGAGCAGTGCGGTCAGCAGCCCCTTCACCCCTCCTATGATCCCTACATGCCTGTGCTCTCCACAACATACCACTACCTCGCGCCCTGGACTCCCGGTGCCGGCCCACACCCCCGCATCCACCACGCCACATACTGCCCCTCGTCCTCTCACCCCCCTGTCAACTACATCACTACCCCCACCCATCTGCCACACTCACAGTTTGTCTAAGTCTCATTTACCAGTAGAAATGTTCCTGTTTATGTTCAGTTGTTAGTTCTGTATTGTTTTCACAGACGAATGGTTATTCAGAGATCCTGCAGTGTTACTTAGCACTTAAACTGAAAGGCAGGACGGAGTAGGTGTGCTTTTACCACCCCGCACATTTGCTCCCCAATCAACATCGCTCTAATTTAATAAGCATATATTGGATTTTCTTTCCCTAATTATTTGAGGATTTTAAAAGGTGACATGATTCTAAATGTAATTAGTTCCCTTCTCATTTGCTTTTACAAATGTTTGCATGCTTCCAGAATGTAGTCGTTTAGCAACACGCCAGGAGTTCGAGCCTTAGGAAACCATTGTCTGTTGTTTTTCTATGTCAAAAAATCACTTATTATAGCTGCACAAATAAATAAAAAAAATAAGCCAAATCAAGTTGTTTCCGAATCCATTTTAAGGTTACGAACTGAAACTTATTTATATGAGAGAAATTAACTTTCTATTTAAAGCATCCTGAAATGTAGCAAATGATATTATAAGAAGTTGCTGTGAGAAAATGAGTAATGATGCTGAAAATTCAGCTTTGACCACAGGATTAAATTTCGTTTTACAGTATCAAAATAGAGAAGTTATTTTAAATTGTGTAGTAATATTGTGAAATTACAGTTTTTACCATTTTTGCTAAAAAATAAATGCAGCCTTGGTGAATGTAGGAGACTTCTTTAAAAAAAAAATCTTAATTATTTGCAATTATTTGACTATTTGTAATTAATAGTAAGACAGACTGGTTACAATTTATTTTCTGGATAATCATGCAGTTGCTTGGCAACTTGGTGAATGAGTCACATTTTCACAATCTGATCTTTGAAGCTGCCTATTTTACTTGAAAATGTTATCCATTTCCACATAAAACAGATTATTAACATGTGGAACACTTATCTATTGGGAATTGATTTAATTGTGATAATTGGGCATTTTATTTCAGAAGACAGGCCGGATTAGTTCACCCCTTCTCTTTGCTTGATGCTTTTTTTTTAACCAGTTAGATCTGAGCTAAACTGTTAGCTTTTTAGCTAATGACTAATGAAAAACACACAAAGGGACATGTTTAACTGATTTTAACTTTAGCAATATGTGGAGAGACTTTTTAACTGGCTTCATCCTCAGTTTTACTTTATTTAAACTTTTCACTGTTAGCTTCTTTGAGTGCATCTCACTGTGTCCCAATTTTCATTGTAGCAATTTTTTCTACAATAATTGCCTAAACAAATGCCTTAATGTTAACCAAAAGCTTGTGTGGCCTTTGTGACATCATCTGAAAAGTAAAGTCTTTAAGAGGCAAAGCAAGGCATTACATTTCAAAGAAAGATTACATTATTATTTTTTTTCAATAACATGCACAGTAACACCAGAAAAATGTAGGCAGGGTCTATATCATGTTGACTTTAAGAGCAGCAAAAAGTGCAGTTTCAATCATTAGCGATGTTAACCCAGATATGATTTATTTAGTTCATGTGACCTCAAAACAAAAAATGAAATAGAAAACCACTGAAGCTTCTATTTGAAATCAAGGTATAAATTATACATGAAGTGTAACCAAAAAAATAATTTGTTAAAATAAATTTTACAAAAAAGACATTTAGAATCTACGGTAGATAGCTTGCAGCTTAAATTAAAACCATAATGAAGCAACACAAATGAGAGGTCACTAATGCACAAATGGATCGGATATATTATTTGTGACTGGTTCAGTGTCTAGAGACCAGTCATGAGAGAACCTAACTACTAAGCTCCCGTTATTGAGCAAACTCTAAATATTATATCATGCGTTGTGTTTTTAGGAGCCAATTCACTATTTAACACCATTTGCTATAAAACATCTGTGAAAAACAATTGAAAAGATATTATGCAAAAAAATAAGAAATCAGGAAGGGGGCCAACACTTTTTCACACCACTGTATATGCATATTTTTAAGCTTCATTTGATACCATTTGGTGCCCTTTATAAACATTTATGTTGTGTAGACACAAGTGTATTACAAAGATGCATATATCTTTAGGTCCACATTGTTATCTGTATCTTCTGATACAATATCACTTCAATATCTGTAAATAATTTACATCGTATCAGACATAGTTCATATATTGGTTCTACTTCCACTTTCTGAGCTCTAAAAAGGACTTTCTATAGTACACACGTGTTCAAGTCTGCAGTTTAAGCTTGTTTTCAAAAATGTTGCACTAGCGTTGACAATGAAGGACGTTACAGCACCAGAACTTAGCATGCGGTGCAGATGGTATGTAATTTAAAAGTAAATGCATCTTGTATAAAACATGAACTTATAGCCTTGCAAAATAAACAAAGGATTTTACATTGGATGGAGTTGTGCAAGAAGGTTGCTACATTTGTTAAGGGTGCATCTGAACACCTTCCCATATAACAAATACTTGAAATACATATTGCAAGTACACATATTTAAGGGTGCATCCAAGCAACTCACATAGAATATTTTAAAGAGCTCAGAGTTGTATAAAGTTTTGCTTTCTTTGGGATTTTTGATGGTAATGATAATTTTGCATATATATATATATATATATGTATATATTCAAGTAAAAACAAAAAAAATCAAAGCCACAGGAGGTGGAAACATAGCCCATGCTCGTTACATATTAATTACTATTGCCACTAGGGGGCGAATTCCGAAAGTCGTAATCAAATGTTCTGTGCAATGAAAATGCAGCTTACGACATCCATAAGCTGATTTCCTGAAGAGTGTAATGCAGTCCCTGTATCGGAACGTGCCTACTTCCTGCTAATAGTATACGAAAGGTAGTAAGTCAAATCAGCATAATGTCTGAATTCGCAATATTTATAAAACGTGAAAATTACCTGGATGACCTACTACTTCTGCCAGTGCTTTGAAGTGTGCAGAGATGGACATTTTACTAACCCATAAGGCCAGGTGAGAGAATTCGTAAATTGTGGGGAAGTGACACGACTGATGATGCTGTTGGTCACGTTAATGCCAACATGGTAAATGTAGTATGTTTTTATACTACACCTATGCATGGATCATGGCTCTGTCCAAAGTCAATTAAATTAAAAATACTCTCATTTCAGACTTTAAACCGTTTTTAAGAAAAGGGGTTATGAATCAAAATGATGGATATATGAACCAAAACCATTTCTATTTGTAATATTATTTTATCTGCTCTGTTAATAATGCTAGATACCTTATCCAAATTTAGATTTTTAGAATGCACATTAGCTTATTTTCCATCAACCGGTTAAACTTTACAACGGTGCATCAAAATTCAGTCTGATTTTTGCATGGGCTTGAACAAAAACAGCAGATGGGCTGAATGAATGCAAATCCACTGTCTGACAGCAGGTGGCGCTCCTGCAATGAAAAGCAAATGAAGTCCTGCAATGAAAAGAAAAGGCCATGGAAAGTTGGTTCCCTTCAAAGGTGCATTCATACAATTAATTTATGCTATGTCTGCATGAGACTGTAACTAACTTTGCTTACTGTTGGACAGCGTTTACAGTGAGTTTTTCCAAATCGCGGTAAGTTAATCAAACATGGTTTTAATAATTAAAATATTAAACAGTAATATTACACGTCTAAAATTTTATCGTGGTTTGCTCAAACTGCAACCATTTCTATTTGTAACCCTCAAAATGGAATGAGCTCGGTGACACCTTGCAAATCTTCAGTGACCCCGGGCTTGGGGACCACTTTTCTATATAGTATGAATGTGTGTAGTATGAATGTAATCCGGACGTAGTCATGCAACCTACTAGCATCAGTTGTGTCGCTTCACTGCTATATTCTGCTATTTTCCTATTCACAAATCCTCTTCCGAGGCCAATGGGATAGTAAAGTGTCCACTGGATGCATACTTCTGAACCTTTTATGAATTCTGTGAAGTTGGACATACTACTCGGTCTTTTCACATACTGTTTTTTTTTTTTTTTTGTCTACTATATAGTAGTAAAGTATGTGATTTCAGATGCAGCCCACAATTTCACTTTACTTTGTAGTATCCATGCAACCAATGGCAGAAAAGGGAGTGTTAGGCATTATTGTAAAATATATTTTTTCCCACACAGAAATTACATGCCTCACTTTTGAATATAAATTCCCAGTGGCCTCAATCAAGAAACACAAGTGGAACAAATTTTCCTAATTGTTAGGATAGGCGATACGTAAATGGTCGCACTGACACTTTTGCATTAATGTTTTACGAATGTTTTTACACAATTCGTTCTGCTCATGTTTTGTGAATAAGGCATGATGTGTGCAAAGCATAAAGATGCTATGAGTGTCACAGGCCCTTGACTGTTGTTGAAGCTTTGAACCAGTCACGTTCAGCCAAAACGTCAACCAAACGTCAGTTCCAACACACCTGCCAATAATTACCAATTAACCCCGAACACCTTGATTAGCTGGTTCAGGTGTGTTTGTTTGGGGTTGGAGCTGAAATCGATAGGACAGTAGCTCTCCAGGAGCAGGGTTGAAGATCCCTGGCTGAAGCTGTGAAACATTACGTTAATGAGCTGACTTCGCCTCTACAGCTGTGTCGTAACCGACTCCTCTTGTTCCCAGCTGGAGGAGCCCAAAATGTCACAAGGTCCCACCCAGCCATGGCACAGATCATCACTGGAGGCCAAGAGCTGAGCGCTGGAGGCAGTCAGGCTGGAAGCACAGTGCAGCGAGTGGCTGGGCGGCCGGAGGACGAGACTGTCCCTGCCGTTTGCCCGTTGAGATGTGGCCTGCATTGGGTTCTGTTGAGTCTCAGGCGGCCCCAGTCCCAGCGTGTGTAGGTGCATCTCGCTCCGAGTTACCTTCGACAGCATCGGCGGACCATGCCAAGACGTTTGCGGTACTTGGTCTGAGATGCTGTATGCGGACTGCTGATCTCCCGGGGTCTCGGCATGTTGGTCCGGGACGTGTCCATTCATACGAGACATTAGCATTCCCAAACGTTGCAAAGAGTTTTTCTTGGAGCGAGAAAAGCGCTGCAGACGGCTGCTGGTCCGCACAAATGCAGACGAGTGGGATATGTTGTTCCTCAAGCCATTGCTTTCTGGTCTTTCTCTGGCCAGTCCCGACATGGATTTGAAGAGAGCCGATACGCTGAACTGGGACTCTCGGTTTCTCCTGTAACACTGGGAGAAGGACGTAGATGCTTTGGATCTAGATGACTCTCCCCCATCCCCACATCTGGGTCCTCCGAGCCTATCGCCCTCCTCGTCCTCTTCTTCCTCGGGCTCAGCTGTTTCGTCCTGCTGAGTGGCCTCGCTACTAGAAGAATATGTGCGTCGCGGTGGTTTACGGTTGCCCAGCAGGTCAAGAACCTCGTAGCGGAAGCTGGAGATATCCTGCTTAAGTTCCTGAATGCAGAGAAACGATATGCAATTACCGGAGCGTAAACTGCACCACCTAATTACAGGAAATATTCTAACGTTATGACATTGGCTGCGTTTACACTTGACATTAACATGCGATCACCGTGATCTGATCAAGCAGATCGGGTCATCAGTCAATCAGGACTTGGCGCATTTACACTTGGCAACATCAGCTGACTTCTCGATCTGGATAATCGATCGGATCTGTATTTCCCGCGCAATATTTAATAAGTCTGCGGTGCAAAGTCGACCTGAAGTGGTGGGTTTTCTTTTGAAAACTATTTTCAGTCGCGGGACATTTTACAAATCAAAATAAATGTACGAGTCTCACTAGCACTCTGTTCTTCCGACAGAGAGGGGGCGGCGTTTTGCGTGATGTTGACCTGCGAATGCAGACACGATGGCTGGATTGCGTTTACATTACACCGAGATCTGATCACAATGCGTCCTCGACTACCTCTGGACCAGGAGCGTGTTAACACTTGTCTTTTCAATGTGTATGTGGACAACATCCGGATACAGGTCGCATGTTAATGCCAAGTGTAAACGCAGCCATTATCTTCATGACTTCTGGTTCTTATGGTTTTCCTTGCGGACTTTAGGAATGCGTCTTATCTGGATTTGATCATCTTCCATAATCAGTCTCTCCCTAAATGTATTGCACTTTAAACAGTGTACAGTTAGGCTAATGAACTATTCATTTAATATTAATAATTAACAATAACAATAATGACGGTAAATATTTACTAAACACTGTAGTCTTTTATAGCAATTCGGCAGTAAATAATTATAAATTAAAATAATTTGCAGCTCTAATTCAAAGTTCATTTATTCTATAAATAATATGTAAATGGTTCATATTGTGTATCTACTCAATGTTATTGATTTCATTAGTATTCATTTCTAAAGTGTGTTTCTAGCACATGTAACAGTCAAACCTGCATAACTGACTACTACATTATAAAAAAATGTCCACTTCAAGAATACAAATGAGATCATCGAGGCCTCGATAAGTGCCTATATAGAGAATAAGATGACCAAAAAGAATCTTCATACCTTGAAGTTCTCCTCTGTCAGCCCTTCATCTGTTTTGGCGCTGCGGATCATGGCTGCAACATATCGCTTTACCAAGTTTCTGATCACCTCCTAAAAACAGCCACAAACAGGATGAACTTCAATACATTTTTCTTGACATATTACATTCTGATCTACAAATAACCCTGTTTTCCTCTTCACAAGAACTTTCCACATCCCCAAAGGAGGTGAAGATTTATTCTCGGATGGGGTAAGATAGGGTGATGGGCTCTGAATGTGATTGGCATGTGCATATTTTCCAGTTTATTAAGCGGCGAAAATCCGTTTTTGGCATATTCATGACATATGTATTAGCTGGAGGTGAAAATCTGGATGTGCATTCATTAGCATTTATTTGCATATCCAATAAAGAATGAGCCAGCGGTGGCACTCTAAACACGCTTACGCACAACAACAAAATAACAGCTAGTGCAATATCCGCTACTGCAGCTCTTGATTGTTGGGGAGAAACATTTGTCTGTAGCAATTATATACAACCTCACACTCACGAAAGACCTTGCTTAATAGAACAGTTCACCCAAAAATGACAAATCTGTTTTCACACAACATAAGAGATTTCGAACAATCATCACACAGCTCTTGCCATACAAGCAAAGCTGTCAACCTAAAAAAAACAACAACAATGTATCAAAAAACGTCATATGACTCAGTATTCTGCTATATCTTGTGAATCCATACAGTAGATTTGAAATTTAAGGGGGCTTTACGCAACACTGCTTTCAACTAAAAATGGAAATATTTTAATTCATTTTGGCCATTCATTTACACGACAATAGCGCTTGGGGGGCTTGAAAACGCAAGCTTTTGAAAACGGGTTTCAAAGTGCAAGTTTTTGAAAACGATATGCTATCAACTCCATACAAGCTATAAAAACGTCTGCAGGCGTGTAGTGTTTCTTTACAAACTGACATCGCCATCTACTGGCCTGGCATGCATAATGCAGTGTTTTTAGCAGTTTTCGTAGTTCCTTTGTGAATTTGGGTCATTTTGACTGTTGTTGTCAAGTTTGACAACTTTTCAAAAGCGCAAAAGGAAAATCTTTTCAATTTTTAGTACAATCATTGTTGTGTAAATGTACCCCGAGTTGTCATTCTCTGATAATGTTGCATCGTCATTTATGGTGTTTTGACACCCTTTTCACTATGAATTACCATTACATAGTGCATAACTATGTAAAATTCCTCCAAAATGTCTGTGTTCCACAGACAAAAAATAGCAGCATACAAACGAGAGAAGTGTGATTACTGCTTTAAGTTCCTCCCTGCGTTCACATACGTTACATTGTTTAGTGGCAGCTGTGTTGTTTCGTTATGGATGTTCATTACAGTGTCGCGGCCTGCACCAGAGGTTGCTGGAGTCTGGATGGCTGTGTATTAATGCATTAGCAATCAGCAGGGATTCAGTGGTTTAGTAAGTTCAAAGCAGGACAGGGTGTAATGCAATTAGAGCAAGTAATGAATATGCACTGATTAACAACACAACATAATATTTATTTTCAGTGTGATCATGCACTATTTATTTTAAACCGATTTAAAATCCCTTCTACATGATTTTTCTCTTTGTAAGCACCTAGAACTATCACTGATGAAAAAACATGCAAATTATACAATGTGCAATGCTCTAATAACTCATTAATATGCATGATGCCAATAGGCTAATGTTTGTTTTTTCATCTAAATAAACTGTTGGAATTGTTAACATATTAACAGCAAGGTTCTGATCCAACAGCATGCTGGGAAACGGATTAATGACACGGATGCCAAAGTGTGATGGGTAGGGCCAAATCTCATTACCTGGTAGTGCTGGTTCTGAATAAGGTTATCGGCATGCCTTTCCTGAAACAGACAACAATAGCAAATTTCAACAATAAATATGCAGCATTATGTAATACTTATGATCCAAAGGTGAATAGTTTGAACTATCAGTTACTGTTATTTTAGTATTGTTGATATACTTATATAGTTTTTATTAATATTTTGAATTTATTTTTATATTTTCACTTTGGTTTTAAAGTGTTTTTGTCATTCTCATTATCTTTTAAATGTCTATATATGGTTTTTATTAGTTTGTTTTAATTATTTTAGTACTCCAAGTAAATGGCAACCTGCGTGTGCGTCAAGTCTGAGGAGGAGGGGCCGGGTGAAAAAACCCCGCTCCAATATTTTGAATTTGGACTGCAATACCTAGTTCAACCACTCGGTGTCAATCCTACATACAGCACCTTTAAACTAAACAAAAATGGAAATGTATGTCACTAGCTAAAATAAAATATATATTTTTTAAAAATATTTCTGCTTGCATTTATTTAAGACTTTTTAATGGTGTTAGTTTTACGATAACATCCCTAAATAGATAACCTAAAAATGAAAACTGTTGTCATTTCTACACCTTCATATTGTTCCAATCCTGCATGACTGACTTCCGTGGAACACAAAATATAGTGTTAGAAGTTTGTGTGTGTGTGTGTAATGACAATGAAAAGTATCTAGAGCTTTGAAGCTTTAAAAGGGGTACCATGAAAGAGGTCCATGTGACTTCTGAAAGTCTTCTGAAACCATATAACATGTAAATTTTTACTTTTAAAAGGCGTGCCAGCTTCAGTCCCCATTCATTGTAACTATAAAAAAGAGCGACCAGCAAAAAAATTTTTTTTAAATCTACTGGCTTTATATTCCATGCATGGAAGAAAGTCATACAGGTTTGAAACAACATGAGGTTGAGTAAATGATGACAGATGTTTGATTTTCACACAAACTGTTCTTTGAAATGACCTGAAACGCCAGCTACAAATTCAAAAATAAATGATAGCAGCCTTACATGATAAACCCCAAACTGTGTGCTCCATGTGCTGTGTGTGGGAGAAAGTGAGTGAGCGCGCTTGTAGAAACAGTAGAGCCCACCTCACAGAGCAGAGAAGTTCAACTGATCGAAAGATGTCTCGGGAATGGTATGTTTGAAGCGGGGTTGCCTAGCAACCAACATTGGCCTAGGGCAACTTAAGGCTGGATGCCAAATAGACAACCACTGGCAGGTTCAGTTCAAACATTATTTAATGGCAGGACATCCTTAAAATCATTTCAAAGACCGTTTAGGATTTATGAAGGTTTATTTGCATCCTTAATATTATTATTATTATTATTATTAAAATATGCTAAATTAACCTTTTTTTTTTTTTTTGGTTGTTAGACGTTAGTAGGCCGTTCTAAGAGGTCACACTTTGATTTTTTTTTTTTTTTT